CCTTGTGTTGCTTATCCGACTGTTTCAGCTACACTTTATTTAACTGCTTTTGGTATCATTCGGCCGCTTGCACAACGCTACCATGAACATCGTCGGCGCTACAAAAGTTCCATGGTTGAGGTTTCGCTACTACTGAATCTGCGCAGGTTAAAGCAGAAGCAGTAGCAGCAATACGAACCAACCAACCAAAATGTTTGCAGATTTGACGATTCTAATGAGAAAAAAAAAAGAGAATCACCAAAAACCCGACAGTGGTTACACACGCATGCCCTCCACGATACAATTCGCAGCATCCCATTTGCGCACGACGCAACAGATCTCTCAGTGGTACTCTACGCAAACAGTCTTACTACGCCACAGAGAGAGAGAGAGTCTCTTCACGCTCCAAATGTCGCACATGCCTTCATTGCTCGTCCGAGATCGTGCTGGCCTGCTCGATGTGCCTGTCTGAGCGCGTGTTTATATTGTTTATGTTATGCAGTTGTTTGTATTGTTAATGTTGTTGCTGTTTGACTGTTTGATTGTTTGGAGGCTTGGTTGTTTGTGTTTGTCATAAGAACAGCATTAAGGCACACATTTTTAACCTGTGCATGAGCAAAGGAATTATTGTGCTGGTACATGGACAAGTGGATTACAGCACTTAGCGATGAGTTTGTGCTGTGCTGTGCTGTGCTGTAACTTAATCTTTCCATTTGCTTTGCCACCAAATCAACCCAAACCAAGTCAAACAAGATCATATTCACTTAGCCCTTTTCATCTGCCATGCAACAAGATCAGATTTTAATTATTTTTGTTGTTTTTTTTTTTTTGTATTTTTTACATTGCAGTTCTTGCAATTGTTCTTCACTGTAGACTTGCTATAGCTGTTGTTGTTGTTGGTAGCACTCTTCTGCTTGTTGTTGTTGTACTTGCTATATTCTTTGCCTTTATGTTCTCTATATGCGCAAATAGCGTTTGCTTGGTATGGCTTCCTTTGCTTTGTGAATTCTGCGCTGCATTCATTCATTATTTTTTCTCACACACCAACTAAGCAAACTAAGCCGAAGGAGATTAGGGCTCAGTCACTTGCTTCGCTTTAACCCTAAATTATGTTTTGCGGTACCGAAGTTATAAAAACCAGTTTTATCAATTTTTGTTGTTGTTGTATATTGTTTTTAAGTCTTGCTTTTATTAATTTGTTTTTATTTTTTTTTTTCGTCTTTGTTTTTGTTTTTGTAACGATTCTTACTTTCATGACTTTTCTTCTGGTTTGATGCCTTCTTACCTTGCGTTTTGGTATGAACGGAAGAAGTTTTGTTGTTGTTGTTGTTGTTGTAATAATTGTTTTTGCTGTTACTTTCATACGTAACTTGGAAAAAATATGCGTGGTCATTGTTGTCTTCTAACATTTTCGCACGCTACACAAATTAAGCAAGTATACTTAGTTCGCAGAAATATTTTAAAGTTTTTTAGTTTCAAAGTAGAGTGTTACGTATACTCGTAGCAGGTCAACTGCGCATTCATTTTTAAAAATTCATTGCAGAAGTTGTGGAAGCTATAGTTATAGCATTTACTCTATATATGCCCATCTCTGGCCCCCCGAATAAATAAGTTTTTAATGAAATACTTTTTTTAACAGTTTATCAGACTGTTCATCAGTAAGGACAAAAGGTTTTTTAAAATTTCTAAATTAACAGACTTATCTTGTCTGTTTAAATGTTTAAGTTTCACTAATTTACCTAATTGACAACAACCTACTATATTTCTTTTTACTGAACGTCGAAAGTATGTCAAACCACAGTGTGGTGTGAATAGGAATAGGGACTTTCAATGATATGCAAATAACTGTACTTAACTTGGTTCCTCATTAATAAGAAAAAATCAGCATTTTCAGTTGAATGCCTCGTAAAGACATCAATCTTTAGGGCGGTTAGAGAAAAATGAAAAAATATTGAATCTTTAACTTCATGTTTTTCTTGCCATCGGCATTATAAAAAGGACAAAAAGTGCTTGACATAAACTTTGACATCTCCCAATGCATACATATCGTAGCTGAAACAAGCTAGAGACCCAGAGAACTAGAAGATCTTAGTCAG